CGTTGACGGAGACGCAGGCCACGGTGTCGATTCCCTTCGCCTTGAACTCGGCGGCGTGCTCCACGAACCCTGGGAGGTGCTTCTGCGAGCATGTCGGGGTGAAAGCGCCGGGGACGGCGAGGAGGACGACCTTCTTGCCGGAGGTGAGGTCGGAGATCGAGACGGTCTTCAAATCACCTGCGGCGTCGTAGTAGGAGAGGGTGGCGGCGGGGAGCTTGTCGCCGACGGAGATGGTCGCGGGCTGGGCGGTGGCCATTTTGCTGCGTTTTGTGTGTGAGAGAGAGATAAAAGGGGGAGTAAATTGTGGTGTTTGATTGTGAGTTGTAGAGAATTGCAACCAAAGCCCTGTATTTATAGAGTTGGTTGGGCTAATCACGACCATCGATTTTGCTTGAAGGGTTGGGCAGGGCTATATAAGATTGACCATGACTAACGCGAATTGGTCCATGAATTCTTGTGTGCCAAGAAAATGACATTTATGGAAAATGAAAATGTTTTATTTGCTTAATGTGAAATGTTGAGTCAATGTTAATATGTATAAAATCAATTTTATAAATTAGATGTTAGGTTATATTAATATAACATTTATGGAAAATGAAAATGTTTTATTTGGCTAATGTGAAATGTGAGTCAATGTTAATATGTATAAAATCAATTTTATAAATTAGATGTTAGGTTATATTAATATAACATTTATGGAAAATGAAAATGTTTTATTTGGTTAATGTGAAATGTGAGTCAATGTTAATATGTATAAAATCAATTTTATAAATTAGATGTTAGGTTATATTAATATAACTATACGGTAGATGTTACGGTTCTGTTACAGAATCATCTTGTCGAGGTTTGTAACTGTTAGTCAACTATCCCGATGGTTACATGATTATCTAACGATTACAAACTCTGACAGAATAGTTTTGTAACACGACCGTAGCATTTTCCTATAACTTTTACCAATAAGATTGAGATTGTTATTTATTTTGAAGTGGTTCAAACCACAGTAAAATTAACTTCTAATAAAATTTGTTTATTTAAAATATTTAATTCTCAACACAATTAACATCTATATATATAAAAAGAATTACCATTTACTAAAAATAGTAGCAAAAAATTAGGAAACATTTAATGCATGCTATTTTTGAAAATTTTTTATATATGCATTAATTGCTTCTCTTTACACGTTATCAAATAAGATCAAATAGTTACTTAAATAAATTATTAATATCTGCAGTATTTTCATTTATATTTATTATAATAAATTACAAGATTGATTTTCATGATTCATGTTGATAATATTTTGGTCAAGACAAATATTATTTTATTAATATTTGTAACACTTTCATTGATATTCATTATAATGAATTACAAGATTGATTTATGTGATCCATGTTGATAATATTTTGGTCAAGATAATATTACACCATATTTTAAGTTCTAACCATAATATTAGTTTTTTTTCACAAATATGCACTTTTTATCCAAAAATATTTATGAAAAATCGTAACAAATTTAGTAGAATTTTTTTACCGAGTAATCAGACAAAATCAAATTGGTGAATTAATATTTGTCAATATATTTATTTCTTAAGCTTTATTTTGTTAAATATAAAAAATAAATCGTTCTTCAAATTAATATAATTTACCATTTAAGAGATAATGACCAGATACAATAAATAGTTTCACTAATGGTAAAAAATTAAAATTGAAACATATTAACTATTGTTTAGCATTTATTTGTATATTATTGGCACCCATGACTATATTTTTTCATTTTTTTTTATTTTGATTTATTTCTATAATTAAATTCTTGTAAAATATTTTTTCACTGTTGAGTACGCTAAATAAACCATAAATCCTTATAATGTGAATTAGAAAAATCTTGATTTCTATAGGGGATCGAGTTTTTAGGATTTTCTAAATCAAAGTTGTTTAATTAGTATATAAAATTAAATTCTAAAAAAACATGTGTATATTTTGTAAAATATTTATACACTATTTAATATTAAATTTATTTACATATTTTAAATTGATTACATAAATAAATAATGCAAACGTGAATTAAATATTTTTCATTACATAAAATAAAAATATAAAGAAGACGTAAAACTTCTATAACTTTATAAATAATGTCAACATCCGGATCGGTAAACATGCATCAAGGGATTCTAGACAACACATTAGAA